TCCCTTGTTTAGCAAATCCAATCAAAAATCTGCCAACCAACCACCAATACAGCAATTTGGTATATTGGCCAACCAAAATGCACAATATACATGTTGCAAGCTTTCTAAGCTTCACTGGCTTCTTCATCAGGCAAGGTATTACAAACCAAAGAGGAGAAAAAAATGAAGATGTTAGTCATAGACCTGCATTTTGCTGTTTCTCTTCTTAGTTAAAATGCTATGGAGGGGCATATCTTGCAGGCTGGCACTTGTTCAGAAGAGGCTTGCCATTAGCTTTCTCTCAGGCTGAAAGCATGTGACTTGCCCAAGGCTACCCAGTAGGTTTCATGGCTGAGTGGGAATCAAAGCCTGGTCTCCAGAGTCATAGCCCAATGCTCAAACCACTATGCCACGCTGACTCTCTAGTGACATGATAGCCATCTTTAAATATCTGAAGGAATGTCATGTAGAAGATGGCACAAGCTTGTTTGCTGCAGCTCCAATTGATTGACAAGAAAATTTGAGATTCCACCTAAAAATTGGGAATTACTTTTTGACCACACTCTGGTGTTGCTTGGCCACATGCGTCTTGATTTTCATCTGTGAAATGTCTTCCGGTTAATGCCTGCCTTTCCTTTTGCCTTCTCTAGCAGCACTTCTAGAGGACTGACAGAGGCCAAGCCTTCTTTGACACCCTCCACCATGTCTGAGTTTGAAGATGAGGAGGAGACTTGTTGGAACAACCTGGAGAACTTCCGTGTAAAGCTGATTTCGGTAATTGATCCATCTAGGATAACCCCTTACCTCCGGCAGTGCAAAGTTATAAATCATGATGATGAGGAACAGATACTCAATGACCCCAGCCTGGTGATCCGGAAAAGAAAAACAGGTACGTTTGCTCACCTATTGTCTTGTACTTCACTTCTTCCTCCAAGAGAGGCACCAGTGTATCATTCACACTCCTTCCCAATTTCATCCTCACAGGATAGAGTAATGTGGAAGAACACACAAAGAAGAGAAGCCCTGAAATTTATGTACTGAGTTGACCAAGGCCAGGATTCTCCTCCTTCCTCTCCTCTTCCTCTGCTGAGTTAATTGAATGCAAACTTCTTTTGTATTTTGAACTTGGTTTGCAACAATTGGAAGTAAATTGAGGACAAAGGGGGAAGTTGAAGGAGAAAGAAACTGAGAAAATGCAAGAGCAGAAGATTCATTGGGGCTGTTCCTGACAAATCAGGACAGTAGGAGGGTATGCATGATCACTTCTCCCACAGCTGCTCTGGGCTGTATAGGAACCTTAGCATTTACATTTCGATATCACTTCATACTGAACTAAGCAGTGTACAGTGTGTAAGCCAATTGCCCCCAATAAGTGGGGTACTCATTTTACCGACTTATGAAAGGATGGAAGGCTGAGTTGACCTTGGAGCCCCTCGGGATCGAACTCACAACCTTGTGGCACCAGTACAAGCATTTAATCACTGAGCCATCCAGGTTCTGGACTCTTCCAGAAGAGCTTCAGCACTGAGAAACCTCCTGCACAATCTGGAGCAACAGGGAGAGGAGTAGATAGAAAACTAAGAATGGATTCACCGCTCCCTCAGCTATGGCTTTGGTTGTTAGATGGTCTCTGGAAAAAGTTTTAATTGTTCTGAGATAGCAAATCTATGCCCACTTGCTCATGTGTCATGGCATCCATTCTGTAGCCCCTGCTTGGTTTTCATTGGCTTACTATTTTTTACTATTGCTAATTAAAATATCTTTTCCCTTTCCAGGGGTTCTCCTTGATATCCTCCAAAGGACAGGCCAGAAAGGTTTTGTAGCATTTCTTGAGAGCCTAGAATTGTACTATCCTCAGCTCTACAAGAAAATAACAGGAAAAGAACCCACCAGGGTCTTCTCAATGATTATAGGTAACATGTTAATCTGATGAATTTCATTTTGATCTTCCTGAATTTTTTTTAAATCCCCACCTCCCCCACCCCCAATGACCACTGGGAGCTCATGGAGCTGTAATATGAGAAAGTAAATTTCTGAAGAGATAGCTATCTCATATTAGTCTCCTATGGGTGTCTTTCAGGGCTGCTTTAGTTATGTATTTCTGCATGGCCAAGGGTTGGAGTAGATAACCTTTGTGGTCCCTTCTAATTGCGTGATTCGAAGACCTTCTGGTGTACACATTTAGAGACTGGTGTGGTGCTCTCTGATTTACACACAGCTGTAAAGCCAGCTTTCTCCTCCAGACACAATATGTGATGGGGAATGAAGATTTTTCTGGTAACAGGGTTCCAGTTGTTGCATTTTGGTTTAAGCTATTATTTTGACACAGTTCCAAATTTGGGAATTCATTCTCAATAAGAATCAAGATCTGTTGCATCTTCCAGAATCTTCATAAGAATATCAGAGAACCACAAACCAGGCCTCACCCTACAAACCTTGTTCCTATGTGCCTTCAAGTCATCTCTGACTTATGGGTGACCTCATCCTAGGGTTTTGCTGGCTCTCAAATCCTAAACACCTTTCAATAAACTGCAACTCCCAGGATTCTATAGGATGCAGCCATGACACTTAAAGTAGAACCATAGTGCAGAGGTAGGCAACCTTTTTGAGCCGGGGGCCGGGATGCTGTCCATCAGACAATTGTGGGGCTGAAGCATCAAAAATAAATAAATAAATAAAATTATTATTTTTTTTTATAAATATGCATGCACACTCTTTCAGCCCCAGAAAAGCCATGGCAAAACCCCTGTGGAGATTTTGCCAAGAAAACCCCAAGAGCAAGTAATAGCAACAATAATCAATATCATCATGGTGGGCAGCGGTGGCGGCGGCAGGACTGGCCTGGGTCCGGTCCAAAGGCCTCGCGGGGCCACATCCGGCCCCCGGGCCTAAGGTTGCCTACCCCTGCCATAGTGCTATAATTCTGTAGTGTGAATGGGCACCTGCATTCTTTTCTATTGTCCTCTGGCTTGTGAATGCAAATACCCCTTTCTCCCTGATGCAGATACAGCTGGAGAGTCCAGCCTGACAGAGCTGCTGATGAGTGAGATCTCAAAGCTTCAAAGCGCCAACCGTGAAGAAAGACAAAAAGTCCAGGAGCTGAACCAGCTGCTCCATACCAAGGAGGACATCATCAAGGAGATGCGGGTGAGGGACAATGTCTTGCGCAAGCACCAAGAAAGGGCACAGCGGATGAAGGAGGAGAGGGACAACCTCAGCAAGGAATTGAAGCGATGCAAAGACGAGAACTACGAACTAGCTATGAGCTATGCAAGACAGAGTGAGGAGAAGAATGTGACCCTGATGAAGAACCGGGATCTACAACTGGAGGTTGGCTTCATCTCATTTCTGTGATGCAGCAGCTTAAAAAAAAGCTGATATGATCCTATGCTGCATCAATAGGAGTATAGTGTCCAGATCAAGGGAAGCAATAGTATTATTCTATTCTGCTTTGGTCAGACCTCACCTGGAATCCTGTGTCCAGTTCTGGGCACCACAATTCAAGAAGGGTATTGACAAGCTGGAATGTATCCAGAGAAGGGTAACCAAGATGGTGAAAGGTCTGGAACCCATGCCCTATGAAGAGCAGCTTAAGGAGCTGGGTACATTTAGCCTGGAGAAGATAAGGTTAAGGGGTAAAATATGATAGCCAGACATGTTTAAATATTTGAGGGGATGTCATATTGAAGATGAAGCAAGCTTGTTTTCTGCTGCTCCAGAGACCAGGACACAGAGCAATGGATTCAAGCTACAGGAAAAGAGATTCCACCTAAATATTAGAAAGAACTTCTTGATGGTGAGAGCTGTTTGATAGTGAAGACATTGCCTTGGAGAGTGATGGAGTCTCCTTCTTTGGAGGTTTTTAAGCAGAGTGGATGGCCATCTATTGGAAGTGTTTTGATTGTGTCTTCCTGCATGGCAAAAGGGGGTTTCACTGGATGTCCTTGGGGTCTCTTCCAACTCTAATTTTTTGAAATCTATGAAATAGCCTGAACATGAGCTGCATAGGGCTTTCCAGGGCAAAACCAGCACTTTGAATTGTGTCTGGAGACTCACCAGCAACCAGTGGAGCTGTTGCAACAAGGGAGTTGTGTCCTCTCTGTAGTTAACAGTTTGGCTGTAGTTCTTTGGACCAGCTGAAATTTGAAAACAATCTTCAAAGGCAGCCCCACATAGAGTGCATTACAGTAATCCAAGTCAAAAATGTGTCAGAGTACTGCATTTTC